TCCTTGACGCCAATGCATCGTACCCAGAGAACCAGGTTGGCTTGCTTGCAAGGTCTGGGGTTGATTCATCTGCTGTCGCACTCGTCTTCTCAGCTCATGAGTTCGATCGGGTTCAAGCAGCATTCGAAATAAACGTCGGTCCTCAGGCCTGAAGCCGACTGAACCCTCGCAACACTTTTGGTTACTAGGTCCTTATGGTCTTGTTTCCTGTGAATGACTATATTGTAACTAAAATATACGGCCTACATATTCTGATCAGGCCCCGAGGCTATAAAACTGTGGTAATAGTTTTTAGAGTTATACTAGAAAACGATCGCATACTGAATCATGTCGAAAAACGTACGCATTTAAGGCGTCGGTGATTTCTTGCCACCCATCGGTACGCTGTCGATGGATGGACTTCACACCACATCCCTTAATATCTCCAAAGAGAGTTCCCTCTCTCTGCAGAACGTCTTGGATGAGGCATACCACGCCCACCGTTGCTATTGTAAATAAGCAGACGACAACATCCGGGTCGTTTTCTTACCTTTCTAGATGGAAGAGTTCCAAACTGCCGCATGTATCATAAACAAAGAGTACATTGAGCATACTCAAACCGAGTGTGAGTTGTACTCAGCTGTGAACGGACTCAAAACGTTTTATAACCTCAGCTTGAGTACAAAACTCAGCTGAGCGTGATTTTGAGCACGAGCACGGATTTGAGTACGAAACTGAGTTGAGCACGAAAATGTGTTTATAACCTCGGGGCCAGGACCCACAACTTTCTATGGTTCTGGGCCCTTAGGGTCCCCAGCTTTTCAGGGTAAAGGGCAAACCCAGGGTTCCAGTCTGTGGAACGGGAAGGCAACATGGTACGCAAGGCGTTGCGCGTAAGAACGACAGTATGGCGCGTAGCGTTGTCATGTTGAAATATCACTAGAGAGCCACGACACAGTGGGTTTCCCATCATACACTTTGAGCGCAAGGAAACTGCGTCAGGTTAGGTCCTGTGTATGGTTGCCTATCTCAGAAACTTGCCGAGCGCAGTTGATTCCTGATGGTCTTTTGGGAGGTGACTTACCTCATTTGTACGTCCTATTGGTGCGACGTCACACGCGACGCCCAAGGCCTTGGACGATCTGAAAAAACGGCGCCCTTCTGTTGCAAATGTATCCTCAGACTGTATATTGTCTGACGACTACAGTGCAGAGCAGGTGCAACCACGGTTTCGGCAGGCTTTTGCAAGGAGAATATGAATGGATATCTCGAAAGACGATAATTCCTACTCCGACTTCTGGCAGAGGACATACAAATAGCTGCAGAAAAACGAGAGCGAAAATCAGTGTTGGTGTGATGGACAAAATTGAATGGCCAAAATTGAATGGTAAACGATTGTCCAAGACCTGGAAGACCAATGACCGTTATGACAAAATCCTAATTCACCTAGTGAGACACAATACAAAGACCAATGCCGGAGATTCTAGCGCGGGAGTCCAACTCTCCACCAGTACCATCACAAGAAGGCTGCGGTCTGAGGGAACGTCGTCCGATCAGACATCCTTCCTCGCCTATAAGCTCAGACAGAAACGTTTGGCGTGGTGCAGGCTCCGAGACAATCGGAGCCTTATAGCATGATATAGGGTTCATTGGTCAGATGAAAATTCCTATTTTCTACACGTTACGCATGACATGTCGGAACGAGGGATATCACCTGGTAATGATCCATGCAGCTGAACCCTTTGGTGGTGGGTCAGTGATGGTAGCACTGGATCCGTCGTCGTGCAACATTTTCATAACTATCCCTTCCAGTCGTGCGATATTAGTGGATGCCAAAGCTCGATTTCATCGCCCACGTGCAGAAAACGCAAGGAGCCCCAACATAGTCACATTTGAAAATCTGAGACTATCTTGTACTCCAGGTTCGTGATAGAGATCCTCCTGTTCAAAATCTGCTGAAATTGGCAGGCACCCCATGAGGAATGGTGAGAATTCAAAGCATGATTGACAGTATGCGAGACTGGCACGTTATCCATGGAAGGGATGGCTACATCAGGTAATCAATGTGGCCTCCAATGGTGGTGCAAACAATTATTTTAGAGCTGCTTGAGAATCAGGTTGGTAGTTACAAAACTTTAACTTTGTTTTTAATCACTTACCATTATAATACGCGTTTTCAAAGCATATACAACGTCCAGTGTTTGAAGCACTTTAGTGCTATACACATTTTCAGTATAATTATTATGAAGTACTTATATCAATAGAGGGTGGTGATGGATTAATGCTGAAGTATATATATATATATATTATACACGCACGCACACACACACAATAGCATAAAAGCCTCACATATATGACCACTTCTGTTCCACATTAAAGCCTAACAAAGTTATAAAATGTACTACTGTATTATCCAGTATTGTAGATTCAATGTTCGCCTGTTGAATTTTCAATTACCATAACAAAACTCTTTTCTCAGGTAGAGAAATTCTATAACTTCTTTGGGGGGGTTAAGGTGTCGGTTGTACTTCAGATTGCTTTGAAGCTGCTGCTATGTCCCTGATGGTGCTCACGTCAAGTCAATAAAGACCAGAAAGAAAACTAGAAGAAATGTCTGACTATCTTTATTAGCCTTATTAATTATAATCATTACATTTATTAACACAGACATGAAAAAGAGCTGCAAAAACAACCTTGAAGCTACATACAAATAAGCAAAATATGGATAAAACACTCGGATAGTTTGTGCCAGAAAGTCAACATTTAAAAAGTTAATGGTAGAAACAGCAAAAACAGTCTATGTATCAGAATAGTCTTAAATAGGGGTGGGGATATGTTGCCTCATAAATACTTCTCCATGCTTGAGTAGCCTAAAGTCAGTGGAGTTGTGTACTGACTTAGTGATTAACTCACAATAGTTGTCTGATGGATCTGGGTGTGGTTTAGTCATGAACAGACAAATTGTGTACGTAGTAGAAGTGAAATGATTCCATGTTATGTCTTCACGACAAGGGACTAAATCTATATTGATTCAATATGAATTCAGGGTTAGAATTCGTCAAGAGTAATCAAAGCTTGTCTACTATATTATCAGCTGGTCAGCATCTGACTCGAGATAGAACCTTCACAGCCGCAACACTAAATGACCCGTTTAAAAATGCATTGCCGAGGTGCATTTGAAACAACGTTGAACATGGACACAAATACTTCCATTATCCAAATGATGCCCCGTTAAGTTTTCAAAGACACCATACAAGATGACAGGAGTAATCTGAGCCTCTTTCGACAAGTGGGAGTACAGTCTACCATGTATTGAGTCAACCTAAAAGTTGATGATGATATTGCCAATGGCCAGAAGAAATCGTAGTGGACCTGCAGTTGTAGAAAACTGGTGGCCTTATCTGCCAGAAAATTGCCTACATTTAGATACAGAACTGTAAGTAATAGTTTAATCACATCCTAAATAGCTTTAATATACAGCAATTGTTTCAACTGTAGCTTACCTGTAATGAACAGCTTGCTGACGTGATTTTAGCAGTCCAGAGTTTAGGCTCTTGAATTATTTCTAAGCATATTTTCATTGATTGAGTTCTTTGAAATTTGATGATTTATTTTAAATCCAAACAATGAGTACGTCCTTACTGGTGCATATTAAGCCAAGACACATGGCTGGACATTATTCACACATAACATCCGCTCCCCCTGGAATCTTCACATTTGATGTAAGGGTCACCAAGTTAAAAGATCAAAGGAAAAACAGGTCTCATTCCTGGTCTATAAGACTGTTTGTCATTGACAAGATCTAGTTGTTGGGTCAATAATTTATCATTATCACATAAGCTATCATGATCATGTCTTGGAAACGGTGGGCATGTGCATGATAAGCAGGCTTGAAAATATGATGGTTCTATTAATGATAATGACAAAGAATGATTGGAGAGTTGATATTAACCTTTGCTCTGCTTTTGGACAAGGTCTGTTTATAAACTCAACATGCAACTCAGATGAAATATTTGCTGAATTTGTTCTTTCACATCAGTTCCCAATATTTCACCTCTTTCACCGAGGTCTGCAACCAGTAGGACAGACTGACAAGTGATTCTTACCATCTGGCTACTACAACAAAACTAAAATTTCATGAACTAAAACTACATTGAATGACGTGGGGTGGTGGCGGTGACCATTTCTAAACCTGGTCCCATATTTCTTCATCAGATGAAAGAGCTATTACAGTAGACCTCTAGCACATTTCAGTGATTAAGCTTATTTGTGTGTCAATGACAAACCATAACATTCAGACCCTGCAGACTGAATGAGTAGTGTTTCTTTCATGCTCTTTCAATCTCCAATAATATATTTCAAACCGTATCATTATAGTTCTTGTTAGAAACCATCATTCAAATCTTATGGATTATAATGTTCATAAGCATTTATTAAAGGCAACATAGCCCCATGTTGAGTCATCACTTGAAGACTTACCAAAGTGGTATTCGACCCACCACAAGGACAAGGGGTTTTTTTGGTTGTTTTGTTTTGTTTTACTTTTTGGGGATTTTAATATTTTTTTTACCTTTTATGGATTTTAATTTTTTTTTAGTTATATTTTGTATATGTTTTGAATGTATTTGAGCAGCAAATTGCTGTCCCATGTCATTTGACCTGAACATTTTCAGGTCTACTTTGTTCTCTCATTCATTCATACATTCATTATTGTCCTTTATAGTCATTTGTCACTGTATTTCTTAGGGATGACTCAACAGTGGGCAAGTGGAGTTGGGATGGCTAGAACAACATCTAGCCTGGGTGATCTCTATCCATAAAGTTGTAGATAGAGATCTTTAAACAAAAACAATGACATACTCATATTTCTAAACATATGTCATTATCTTTGATAGCCTCCCACAATGTCAGCTGTGACCATCAGTGGGAGGCAAGGGATGCTCCCAAACAGCATTAGGATGCTCTCTAATGCTGTTAGAGAGCATCCTTCTCCCCACCCCTACCCACGCCCACCCATTTTTTTAGACTATTCTGAGGTTAGCTGTTTCTACTGCAATCTTGATAAAGATTGTGTCATCTTTCAAGTAGTTGTTTGTCGGGTTCTCCAGGACAGAGTGGCTGACAAACAGAGGACACCCAGATGCGATGTTCATCTCGGTCTGGGGCTTGCGGAAGCTGCTGCTACTGGGATCAGGGTGGAAATGATCGCTCAGATGCCTCCGCTCCACTCCTTGGTCCAGCAAGTAGAGGGTGACCTTCTGCTGGAACGGCCAGGGAAGGAGAGAGTCGTACTCTCCACGCATGATGACAAAGAACAATGAGACGTGTGTTGTCTTGCCCATGCCATCGCCGTTCAGGTAGACCCTCGTACACATTTTGTATCCATACTTGCTGGTGTAGAATGGCTGACTGTAAAGTGACAGAGTTCTCCCACTCACAGCCTCCTGCTTGCGGCGCGTGTAGTCTCGGATCTTCCACAGCAGGACCCCATCATAGCTGGCAGTTTCCAAAATCTGAAATCTCAGATCCATTTCTGCAATTCGCACATCATGGATACCAATTTGTCGGTCATGCGCAGCAAGCTGAGTGGTGAAGGCATCTACAATGAGAAAAGTAAAAATGCTTTCTAACATCTAAAAATGATACACCCATGTTATCAAAATTGTTTTGATGACACAATTCAGGTGTGTAAAAACTTTGTTTTCAAACTATCCATTTAGAGTATTACAGAATTGACTCAGTCAATACTCAGTTTTACTTTGAAAACAAAGGTAAGAAGAACTCTGGTTTCTCTTCATAAATGACCAATGAAAATGGGTACATACAATAAGCACCAGAAAGCCATCGGCAGCATTGTGTGAAATATGCAAGACATAAAACTGCATTGTTATATCAAATATCATCTCTTCCACTATCGCAAAACAACTGAAAGAGAAAAGTCATAAAAGTAAAGCATGCATTATCATAAGTAAAAGAGAAGTGTAATAGTAAAGCATGCATTGTCATTATCCTAATTGAGAGAGGCATAAAAGTAAAGCATGCATTATCATTATCATAAGTATGAGAACAGAGGCACATTAGTAAAGCATGCATTAACATTATCCTAGCCTACAAATCATGTAACTGAAGGCACATATTCAACTCAAAGATATGATCAGTCTAGCCAACAGGTGGTAAATTACTGAAATAGTTAGATTTGTGTCTGTTCTCAAATGTGTTATCTGAATATTTGTATAGATGTTAATTGAGCTGACCCGGTGATTACTGCAGATTGAAGTATTCTGTTAACAGAAACAGTTGTGAGATTAACTCCCTCAACACATAAAAATCCGGGATCGGGTTGCCTTAGTTGACACATCATCATATCCCAATTGTGCAGATGGTATCAGGCTAACTGCCCCCTGGCAACATAAAAAGCGGTTCCTAAAATTGGCACCCTCAGAAATCATATTGAATTATACAGGTATCTTTGATAGTTTCAGTGAAAACTCAACTCTGCAGAAGTACACTTGAAAAACACATGGAAAATGCATTTACTTTTCTGTTGAACATGCACAATTTAGATACAACTTGAATCACTGAGTACAAAATGCTGAAAAAATTACCTATGAATGTATCATAAAATACATGTTTGATTACCTCTGCATAACCAGAGTGATGAACAGTGACAGTCCTCTAAGACAGTCGAAGGATTGGAGGTCCATAATGCTTGTATTCTTGAATACATCCCGTCAATGCCCTTCTTATCAAACAATTCAAATAGAAAAATGATAAAAAAAACCATTTCTCAAATGAATAAGATCGATGAACAAGATGACACAAACTTAACATGTAAGATATTCACAGTTGTGTATGTCGGAATCAACATGAATGATCTTACACATAATACAAAGTTGGAAAGCATATAAAGGGACATAACCCTGTCTATTTAAAGCGCAAATGTTAGAACTCATTTTGGATTGACACCAATTACATTAGTGTGTACAATTCCATTTCCCCAACCTAAACAGTGTTTGAAAATTTGTGTCCCCATTGAGAAACTGACAGCACAGATGGACAGATGAACTACCTTAAAAAATCTTCCACTTAGATGTGGAGAATAAAAATATTACAAATATGGGGTTGATTACCCGCCAAGTTTGAAACCGGTGATAATCAGAGAAAGAAAAGGCCTTTGTACAAGTTTCAAAACATATTATGTGGTCATGTGCATGTTATTTCCACATTAGAAACAGTGATTAACCGTGACACCCAACTGCAATTACCTGTTTTGCATTGTGTCACATGTGTTCATGTTTTACTGAACAATTTGCCATTTTTTGTGACAGTGAGTGAGTGAGTGAGTTTAGTTTTACGCCGCTTTTAACAATATTCCAGCAATATCATGGCGGGGGACACCAGAAATGGACTTAACACATTGTGCCCATGTGGGGAATCGAACCTGGGTTTTTGGCGTGACGAGCGAACGACTTAACCACTAGGCTACCCCACCGCCCTTTTTTTGTGACAGATGCCATTGGTGGGATAACATATGCCAAAGACATATATACATGTTTATATATTAATGTTCATCAATCTGCAGAAATATTTTCGGTTTATTATGTTGGGGAATAACCAGAATGAGCTTCAGACATTCTTGTTCCAGAGGCAGTCAGTTTAGAAATATTCCAAGCTTAAATGATGCATATACAAACCTTACCTGCAAGAAGATATTATAGTGTTAAGTATTAGAAGTCTAAGTGGTGATACTGATATAACACACAATGCTTCTAAACAGCTGGAACATCCCAATGAGTCTTTGAGGATAGTTTACAAATTTCTAGTAAAAAAGAGCAATGGACTACTTTTTTACTAGAAAATGAAACTGAACTGTGTCATAGGGCAGTCTTTCAGTACCATGAAACATGAAAACTTGAGCATGGGTAAACAGCTTTCTAATTGCAAATTACAGTGGTCACAAGTTTGATTTGTAGCTGTGGGGACTTCTGATATATGTATATTTACCGATAAACTGGCTACTAACCTATCAATGAACAAACTAGAGTCAGAAGCATGTTCACTGATTAACAGGCTACTAACCTCCTATCAATGACCAAACTAGAGCCAGTAGCATGTTCACTGATTAACAGGCTACTAACCTATCAATGACCAAACTAGAGTCAGTAGCATGTTCACTGATTAACAGGCTTCAAACCTATCAATGACCAAACTAGAGTCAGTAGCATGTTCACTGATTAACAGGCTACTAACCTATCAATGACCAAACTAGAGCCAGTAGCATGTTCACTGATTAACAGGCTACTAACCTCCTATCAATGACCAAACTAGATGCCAGTTAGCTAAACCTACTATTATCAATGCATGTTCACTGATTAACAGGCTTCATACCTGCCATCATCAATGACTAAACTAGAGTCAGTAGCATGTTCACTGTTCAGGCTTCAAATGCTATTATCATTGACCAAACAAGGCTTCAAACCTAAGCCTGTATTATCAATGACCAAACAAGAGTCAGTAGCATGTTCACTAACAAGGGATTAACAGGCTTGAAACCTGCTATCATCAATGACCAAAGTAGAGTCAGTAGCATGTCTATTATCACTGATTAACAGGCTACTAACCTCCTATCAATGACCAAACCTAGAGTCACTGTGCAGCAACTTCATGGCAATAGAGTTAGCATGTTCACTGATTAACAGGCTTGAAACCTGCTATCATCAAACCTGCTATTATCAATGACTACTAGACCAATATCAATGTAGAGTCAGTAGCATGTTCACTGATTAACAGGCTACAAACCTGCTATTCAATCAATAGACCAAACTAATGTCAGTAGCATGTTCACTGATTAACAGGCTTCAAACCTGCTATCATCAATGACCAAACTAGTGGAGCCAGTAGCATGTTCACTGATTAACAGGCTTCAAACCTGGCTTCAAACGCTGATTAACAGGCATCAAACCTGCTATTATCAATGAGTAGAGTCAGTAGCATGTTAACAAAGGACGTGGAAACAGGAGAGTAGCACACTGATTAACAGGCTTCAAACCTGCTATTATCAATTAGGCTTCAAACCTACTATTATCATTGACCAAACAAGAGAGCCAGTAGCATGTTCACTGATTAACAGGCTTCAAACCTGCTATCAATGACCAAACTATCAGTAGCATGTTCACTTATTAACGGGCATCAAACCTGCTATTATCAATGACCAAACTAGAGCCAGTAGCATGTTCACTGATTAACAGGATGCTATTATCAATGACCAAACTAGAGCCAGTAGCATGTTCACTGATTAACAGGCTTCAAACCTGCTATTATCAATGACCAAACAAGAGCCATGCATGTTCACTGATTACAGGCTTCCAAACCTGCTATTATCATAAACAAGGCTTCAAACCTGCTATTATCAATGACCAAACTAGAGCCAGTAGCATGTTCACTGATTATCACTGAAACATATTCACTGATTAACAGGCATCAAACCTGCTATTATCAATGACCAAACTCAAACCTGATCAACTGATTAACAGGCTTCAAACCTGCTATTATCAATGACCAAACAAGAGCCAGTAGCATGTTCACTGATTAACAGGCTTCAAACCTGCTATTATCAATGACCAAACAAGAGTCAGTAGCATGTTCACTGATTAACAGGCTTCAAACCTGCTATTATCAATGACCAAACAAGAGTCAGTAGCATGTTCACTGATTAACAGGCTTCAAACCTGCTATTATCAATGACCAAACTAGAGCCAGTAGCATGTTCACTGATTAACAGGTAGAGCCAGTAGTACATGTTCACTGATTAACAGGCATCAAACCTGCTATTATCAATGACCAAACTAGAATCAGTAGCATGTTCACTGATTAACGGGCATCAAAGCTAGTATCATGTTCACTGATTAACGGGCTTCAAACCTGCTATTATCAATGACCAAACTTCAGTAGCATGTTCACTGATCAACAGGCTTCAAACCTGCTATATCAATGACCAAACTAGAGCCAGTAGCATGTTCACTGATTAACAGGCATCAAACCTGCTATTATCAATGACCAAACTAGAGCCAGTAGCATGTTCACTGATTAACAGGCTTCAAACCTGCTATTATCAATGACCAAACTAGAGCCAGTAGCATGTTCACTGATTAACAGGCTTCAAACCTGCTATTATCAATGACCAAACTAGAGCCAGTAGCATGTTCACTGATTAACAGGCTTCAAACCTGCTATTATCAATGACCAAACCTGCCACCATCAACGACCAAAAGAGCCAGTAGCATGTTCACTGATTAACGGGCTTCAAACCTGCTATTATCAATGACCAAACTAGAGCCAGTAGCATGTTCACTGATTACAGGCTTCAAACCTGCTATTAACAGGATTCAAACCTGCTATCATCAATGACCAAACTAGAGCCAGTAGCATGTTCACTGATTAACAGGCATCAAACCTGCTATTATCAATGACCAAACTAGAGTCAGTAGCATGTTCACTGATTATCTGCTATCATCAATGATCACAGAATAAAGATATCTGTAAATTCACTGATTATCAGGTTACAAACCTGCCACTAACCTTTTACTGTCAATGATCACTTGAAAAACCTTGTCTGCTTGTCACTGTGAGACTACAAACTTTCCACTGTAAAATGCTCATAGATTAGAGCTGTTTCAGAGCCACAAATTAACAGGCTACAAACCTGCCATTGTGCTCAAACTGCCATAGCGGGCAACTGTCTGACCACCCTCCATCCCTGCAATCTGCTCTGTCAGACTCTGTGACTTTTCACGGAGTGTTGTCAACTCTCGACTTTGTTGTTCCAGCTGTTCCTTGCGCGGTAGTTCCTCCACCCTCCTCTCCAGCTTAATAACTCTCTCAGTCTGGGAAACCATTTTCAACTGCGAAGAACCATATTGTAGAAGTTAACCCCTCTGCCAGCCTGCTATCATTCATAATCACAGGAGCTTGCTCTGCATGTTCGACAGGCTACTAACCTACTACAGGGCTCCAGATAAGGGCCGTATTGGTGTATGTACGGATAGAAAATATGCACGATACGGTAGGAAATGATTTAGAAAACATAGCAGATACGCACTACAGCAATGGTGTTTGGTCTTAGAATCATTTACAGACGTATTTATCTGAAAAAGTATTGTTTTATTGTTTATTGACCTGTTTACACAAGACTAGCAATGTTGTGGTACATATATGAAACGAAACACAAGATTACTGATACGCGCCATTAAATTCCATTCAGTACTCAGTAAATGTACTCTTAAGTTTTTCCAGTACTCCTATATTCAATATAGGAGTTGCACTCCTGATGTTGAAATATTATCTGAAGCCCTGCTACTACATTACTGATCACCGAGTAATGTGATCTGCAAGTTCACTGACGGACAGGCTATCCACCTGCCATCATTAATGATCACAGTGTGGTGATCTGCAAGTTCAATGACGGACAGGCTCCAGCTGCTATCATTAATGAACACAGTGTGGTGATCTGCAAGTTCACTGACAGACAGGCTATCCACCTGCTATCATTAATGATTACAGTGTGGTGATCTGCTTCAATGATGGTGTGGGTATGGACTTGCTGTCATTAATGATCACAGAGAAATGTGATCTGCAAGTTCACTGACAGACAGGCTATCCACCTATTATTTATGACCACTGAATGGTGTGATCAGCATGTTAACGGATTCACAGGCTGCTAACCTAGGTACTACCATTAATGATCACAGAATGGCGCCATCTTCAGGATAGCCCAACCAGGGGCTACTAACATGCTACCTTCACATGAATTTAGTTCAAATTTCAGGTGTAAAAGATCACTGGAAACACTGCATCTGCTATTTGTATTCAAACAATTATTTGCAGTCATGGCTTACCCTCATATCACGAACCGTAGTCTCCAGCTTTCCAACACTTTCCTTGAGTGAGGCATTTTCAGCAAGAGTCCTTTCAAGCTGAGCTTTCAGCTGATCTCTCTCTGTTGTTATCTCCTGTTAAAAAATGGTATCAGTCAAACATTCAGCCAAATTGCTTGCTTAAACCTAAGCAGAGATGCCAACCAATGGTAAAGGGTAGGAATCAAAGTCATACTTGTAACCTAGTTCTTCCTAAACTGTAAACACTATATTTAATGATTTATTCTAAGATGCTTTGCTACAGGCACTGACAATGCTTTATACAGCGATAAAATACACTTTTGCTATTGTGTCACACTGAATTGACGTCACCAGGCCATTTCAGTCTGCCCTTTCATAATCAAACGTAACTGTGGCAGGGATTTACCTGAGTCCTGTTTTTGAGGGTCCCTGGGACTCATTCATACTCTTAATTTTCATCGGTCCCAGACAACAAAATGGGGGTCCCATACACTTAAATAATATTATTAATACTGTTATTGTACAGTGTATCATGATCATCACATTAGTTGTTAGAGTAATTGATTTGCAAATGATACCATAACCCAGCTAGTAGCAAACTCTTTGATACTTGATTGTTACTTGATTGGAATTTTTACAAAAAGTATTTTGACTTTTTCTGCGTCCCTGTGGATGCGCTAATAAATTCCATTGTGTCCATTGTCAATTTTTACGCATAAAAGACTCAGGAATTCGCGTCCTGTAAATCCCTGCTGTGGTAACTAACGCCACGATTTACATCAGTCGTCATTGCTTAGTATGATTTCCTAAGGTTCAACTAACTCAGTTTGCACCCAGTTTCATGGTTTGCAGTTGCATTTATCGGATAACATCACTGGTTGAAACAAAATGCATCAGCTTGACTCGCAATTAAACAGGGATACAGTTTTGTTTGTTGGCTAGGCCTGTATCCATAGTTCCACAATGCATCCATGAAATGTCACATAACTAGTCCACTAGTCCATAGATGTCCTACGTGACTGTAAACTGTCTTGAGTGAATGAGCATATTTTAACGCTGCTTTTAGCAATATTCCAGCAATATCACGGTGGGGGCATCAGAAATAGGCTTCACACATTGTAGCCATGTGGGGAATCGAACCTGGGTCATCGGTGTGACAAGCAAACGTTTTAAGTTTAACCACTAGGCTACCCCACCACCCTAAACTGTCTTAAGAGTGCATCTTAATGCAGGGTCAGACACATCAATAGGACAGCACTTGTTTTAGCTATAGGTCCCTTTACAATGTTTACCTGTTGAAGAAGCACATTGGCTAGTACTCACTTTAATGATAAATAGGTTTGTACGATTGTAAATGTATCATCAGCCATTCAATTTCCCTCTGTAGCCACTTTCATGAATGTAGTTTGATAACTGGATTGCAGAAGCTGTTGAGTTCAGGGTTTGTTTTGCTGTCAACATACCAAACCTGTCTCTAATGCAGGTAAACAGGATGTGATCAGTTATACACCAAAGAATGAACTACACACAACTGATATCACAAGTTTGGTCAAACAAAATATCTCCCATCCATGAAAATTGGGTCAGACATGTTCCAAAAACAAAATATCTTCCTTCCATGAAAACTGGGTCAGGCATGTTCCAAAAACAAAATATCTCCCATCCATGAAACTGGGTCAGGCATGTTCCAAAAACAAAATATCTCCCATCCATGAAAACTGGGTCAGGCATGTTCCAAAAACAAAATATTTCCCATCCATGAAAACTGGGTCAGACACGTTCATCAATGAATTTGATGTGGCAAACAAAAGTTGTTAGTCCATAAAATTGAGAAGAGTGGTAGTTGTTAAATCATTATTTAAAAAAAAAAACGGCTATAAATTCTTGTCTTTCAATTACTTGAATACACAGCAATCTTCTTTTGAATAGATTTTAATTCAAATCTGCCTTCTGTGATCTTTTCTTGTCATTATTGCATACACAGAAATTTCTAGAATCCTGCATCACTTTGCAAAAAGCACCAGTGCTGTTCAACACTGTCCACTAGGAATATCCTTTGGGTTGATGAAAAGATTCCCTTGTCCATGGCATGACAGTTTTCAGTACTGGCTTGAACATGAAGGCCTGTATCAAGTCAAGGGAATTATGGACATTCCATTCCGTTTTATTAGCATCATATATAATCTGATAACATGAGTAAAGAAGTTTACCATTGCTTGTGACACAGTCCACATATTGCCAGTGTGATGGATGAACTTTCTTAAGTGACATTTGCTAATATCCCAAGGAACATATTTGCTGTCTCTTCCAACAAAGCTGGTTATGTTGTGAATTAGGTGAGAGAGGCTCCCAGAATATAGACAACAGTGATGAATGAGTGTCTGAATATATGTGGTAAATATTTATGGTTTTGGTGAAATAAGCTTCTTATCTTCTGTGCATATAGAGCCTCTCAACGATCAGTAGAAAGTGCTGACAATTCATCATCATTGACAAGCTGGAATGATGATGTATCCTATCTGATAGCCTCTGTCTAGGTCCACTCAAACGTTGATTGGTTTTATCTGTGATGCATGTGTGCCTCCTACAGTACTATGTCAACTGGAAATCATACATCAGCAACATGACACTTGTTATTCAAGAAACATATGTGTCCAGTTTACAGTATCAGTTCTCCACTTCTCTGATACGTCATCAATCCTGCTCGCTGAAGAAGTGCAATTATCATGATTATAGAGGAGGATCAAATACTAGAAAAATACTTCTTTCCTATCATCTCATATTTGTCAAATCATAGAAGACGGAATAGAGAGTAACTGAGTAACTTCACGGTAGTGGTGCCCCAAATAATTGAAATAATCGAAGATTGGTTGCAAGGACTAAATGACCAAGCAATCGATCGTTTTCTCATAATTGAACACAAACAATTTTTGAACACTTGTTGCATAACAATATTTTCAACAAGGTTGGGTTTGTCTGTTGCATATCATAAGCACTACAGGCTCCTCCTTGTCATGACTGAATGTATCTTAAAGACTCCAGGAAATTAATGTTCCTAACATACTCGTCATCCTTTATAAATGTGAAATTTGCAAATGCATCTTGTGAAATTTACAAAAAAACAACCTGAAAGAACTACATGTTTTCCTCCTTCTTTTTTTGTGCATTAACAAACATAACCAGGAAAATTTGATAAATGATGCTCACCAATTATTTTTGATGACTGATCGGTTGTAATGAACCAATCATACTACCTCACAGACATGTAACTTACACCAAGTTCAGTCCTGATCTGCATGCTCTGTAGGTCCATATTTCCAGTATACATTGTCACAAGTTCCAGATGCTGGGAAATATCCCGCTTTTCATGCTCTGCAATGTCTTGTGCACTGCCCTGAAAACATTAATTGAGAAGTTCATCACAATCAAATAGCCTTAGATAGTATTCTAGGACTCTATTTATTACCATAGATGACCATAGATAAGCTGATCTAATAGATAAGCATAGGTCCTAACGTGACCCTTAAACTCAGTTACACTGAGTGACTTGGTTGATCACATATTAACACATCCTGGCCCCCTTTTCACGAAACAAACTAAAGCCTCAGCATTTCCCAAATTTGAGAAAATGCATATCCCTAAATAAACTGAAATAGTTACTAAACTCAAACTTAGTACCCAATTTGATTTCAGTAGATAGGTTACTTAAGTTGTTTGGGTCTTTTTCCCGTTTCTCAAATTCTCAAGCTCAGTTTGAAAATGGAGTAAAACTTGGAGTTTGTTTTCAAGAAAAGCCTGGGTTGAATTGCTACTCATGCTATTAACCTTTGGTTCATTTTTTAGGCTACCTGATGTAATACACCCATATTCCTGCCGACTGCAACACACACATTAGAATCTTCTTAACTTTCAGTATATATACTTCAGGGTTTGGGTCTTTGACTTCTGACTACTCAAATTCCCTGGACTCATATGTATACCCTGGTCATAAATTCCTTTTTACAATATCTTGAAACGTGTTCGTATGTTTGTATAAAGTTAATACTTGTTGTGTGTATTTAGTTTTGTAATATGAGCCTGAGACCTGAATGCAAATAAATTGCTTCACAAAATTTGCTTATAATTGTATGCAATTACTTACAGCAAAAGTACACCCGACAGACTTGAATTTGCATTCCTTCGGTTTCTTCTGACAAACATTGAAATGGTGCTCCAGCTAAAATTCAAAACAGCAATTCATTGTCCCAGATGTACTACATAATCTCCGTCTAGAGAAGTCCACTCAAAACAAAACATTGCAATTAACAGACAAAACAAACAAACATGGACAGGAAACAGTACTGAAATGGTTTTTTTTTTGTATAATCAGAAGCATGGTTTATTTTATCAATATATATTTCTGTAATTTGTCCCAGAAAATTAAATTTCATATGTTGATCATACCAATCTGTTGCTCCCTGTGACACCTCTTCAAAATTGATGATGCAGTGTATTGCAACAGTCATGTTGCCCAAAGCAATGCCATTATACACCAAAGACCATTAATTTTAAATGAGTTCTTTGAACTTCATTATAAAACATACAGTCATAGTTTCTTGGAGGTTAAAACAGTAAAAGATTTAAGTGAACTTACAGGTATAAGAACAGATGACATGATGGTATATGTTATCAATATTTAGGCTGTTAATGTTAGACTGTTAAAGGTAAGTGGTAAGTAGGTATCTGCAGACCTCCTTCCTCTTCATCTGAGGTGCACCACACTTGTAAGGACATGAAATATTTGCTTCTGGGCAGTCCGACTCCTTGTGTTTCTGTTCACAAACAAATTAAAAAAATTCAGATCCAGTATAAGATTAGTAGTTGCATCAAAGGTCAGAAGTACAAAAATAGTTCCAAAAGTAACGAATAATGTGCTTAATGTTATACAAATACAGGTTAAAATACAAAAGAAAGAAACCATGTGAAAGAGGACAAGGTGTACTAGAGAACAACAGTGCACACTAAAGGACACCAAACAGTAACAACAATGTTGACAATTAAGAACACAGGAATCGTTACAACTTGTACAATACTCCAATTTTTATCAGCCTCTTCTGCTATGTTTATGATAACCATCCACTGTGTTACTACAGGGCTCCAGATAATTTTTCAACATGAGGAGTACATACTCCTTATTTGTTCAATATAGGAGTACTGGAATAAGTTAAGAGTACATTTAGAGTAATGAATGGAAATTAATGGAGTATCAGTAATCTTGTGCTTCGTTTCATATATGCACCACAACATTGCTACTCTTGTGTAAACAGGTCAATGAACAATAAAACAATACTTCATATAACACCAAACTGTCAATAAAAGACATCATGCTTTCCTGGTAGCAAAGGGTAAAGACAATGCAAATATGAATGCAACATGTATATATTGACTTTACACAGATTGCACAAGGAACCACGTAATACATTTGACACCTTAGTGTAGTATGGAGCATTGTGTGCTTTTGATGATTCATCGTATCTACTGCAGAACAAGTCAGTATGTAATTTTTATAGCATGAATGTTTTATTTTACTTAACCTGACTCTTACAAATTGCTTATCTCTCAGATATTTTTTAAAGAATTATTTTTTAATGTAGAATTGGTGAAAAGGAATTTCACCCTTTTCATCTTTCATTTTACATAAAATCAGAGAAAATCTACCCGAATGTTTTTTTGCTGAAAGCAAGTGTTTAAAGTCATACTGCTGAGTAAATCCCACCCATTACACCTGTTGAGATCTGGGTTGGAAATGGTCTTCAGCAACCAATTCTTGTCATGAGAGGAGAGCTGCAGAAGAGCGTGATCGCACTAGTTAGCTTGGTCAGTGTATTGTACCCCAATTGCACAGATCAACGCTCAATACGTCAACCACTGGATTTTCAGGTACAGACATGATTATAGTCATGTTTCTGGAATATTGCTTGTGTGGTATTAACAACGAACAAAAAGCACTTCCTGAATCATAAACAGGATGTGGAGTTGGGGGTGTCGCCATCTAGAGGAGTATTCCTGAGATATCACGCCACGTCAGTTATAATAGGACGAAAGCTCATGGTGATTAAGGTATCACGTGTTTACCAGTAATGACAAAGAAGTTCATACTTCCTGGTTTCATATTACAGCATAACACCCAACATAACAAAAATGTGTGCATAGAAGGGGTGATCTGACAAACTACTAATAATAGTGATATTGTTATTCATTCTCTGACAACGATTACATTCATAATGTGTAATACTGATAACACTGAAAAGCTGTACTGACTCAGAGATTGTGTGCAAGGATTTCCATGATTATTTGGGTCCTGTCTGCCAAACACGGTGGCAGGACAGCTTGACACATGATAGGGTTCATTAATATGTATGGGGGTCCATGGTAGGAACATAGCTTATTGGACATGCTTGCATCTTTCACACAGTGCCCAATACATCCCACAAATCATTGTTGTTGTTTATCTTTACTTCCATGACAGTCAAGCCATAACTAACTTCAGTTCAATTGCAGCTGCATACCTGTGCCATGGCTATTGGGATGGGCTGTCTGCACTGGTCACACTGAACTTGGCGATATTGACACTGCTTCACGTGGGAGTCTAGAGATTTCTGGGGGAGGATTTCCATACATCCATTGTGCCTGTTTGGGCATTCAACAGGCTTGAAGGTACATGCACTCACATGCTTCTGTAAAAAAATACAAAAAAAAGAACAAAGTGAACAATGGCTTTAACATTTCTGAAAGAGACAGGGAGTATTACTTTCTTTGTCAAATATCCATTGTTCATATCTATGAATGGTTTCTTTTCTCTGGCAGATCTGTTCAGCTGTTTAATGGTTTCATTCCAACTATACAGATGTGGTATCATCACAGGATACATTAGACATTAATATTTATGGACTTTTAAAAATATTTTATGAAACAACCTATACCATTAAAAGTACATCTGTTAAAATTGTAGTACGGTAAGATCAATTACACACACATATACACTCACATATATAAAACCCTCTATGAAACTTTTTGTTTCATCACAGAGAGTTCTGCTTCAGCACAGCTTTGAACCATACTTCATTAATATCACAGCGTGTCAGCTGACTTCGGAAGTAATGCTTTTTGTTCCGTACTCACAAATAAAAACTCGTCACTGTGCACTTGAATTTATTGTTTTCTTCGTTTCCAACCTACAAACTCCGACGAACAATGATGACTCAATGGCGAACGTGAAATTGTGTAGCTTTCACGCTTCAAAAATGACACACAGACAGACAAACATTTTGCCGCGCACTGAACTGGTCTAAGGGAGATAACTCGTCACACTACCTGCTACACTACCCCCAAATTAGGATTCTCTAATTTCAAACACTTGTACAGCAATATCTGCAAACACAACAGTACCACCACCTGTACATCAAAACTATTATGAATAAAATTACTTCAAATTCCTTTAGAATTTCACTGCGTTAGCATCACACTAAAAGTATTGAGGTGATTTTGGCACACAATGTCTGCTCATACCATGAATGTTCATGTTAATGTTAATGTGCAAATGTCATTTTGGCACTGGTTGCACAGTTCAGAGTTCATTCTGCTCGTCCTTCTCCACCAGTAAAACCAATTTTGAATTGGTCTCTCCAAATAAGATACAGGTCCAAGTCTCTTACCACTCACTGTCAGGTTTCTGTTTCGACAGCCACCTTCACTCTGCATTACTAGATTGTCCTTACCAGTGTAAGTTTCACAAACGCGTCGCGATCTTCCACTGATTCACGAGGTAGATTATCATCCATGATTAACACAGCGTCACCAGCTTTCAAAGTTCTACATGGTGCGTAACCACTTCTGGCGTGCTTGCAGGTTTTGCACAAACTCTCTTCTCCACCTGTGCCAAAATTCATTGACACAGTGCTGAACCGTCTCCATTGCTTGCATGAGAATACATGTCCTCTTTCTGAAACTTGCCGGGCGGTAAAACAATGTTTGATTTAGTGGTGAGAAGATGATTTGGTGTCAGCGGTTCTGAGGAGTTTGGATCAAACAAAGTGTCCACTGTTAATGGCCGACTGTTTACTATCGCCATTACTTCAGCGTTAAATGAACCTTCCGTCATTCAGTTTGCTTTCGACTTGTGACATGAGGTTAGAGAGTACACTTCTGATCGAGCGAGATCTGTCATTTCCCCATCCTCCCCATGCTGTGACTAGCACTGGGTGGATTCATGATAAATGACTCAAAGTCACAGTTTTGCTCAGCATGAAGTTCTTCACAGAATCAGGATCATATAATTCTCCTTGAGCTCCCACAAAGTTAGTACCCTGATCACATCTCAACTGGCGAACAGGTCCTCTCACAGCAATGAACCTCCTCAGCATTTATGAATGAATCCGTAGACAATGTGGTGGTAACCTCAGTGTGTACAGCCCTACACACTAAACAGGTAAACAAAGCGCCATAGCGGCTTTAGTTCCTCTTCCTTCTTTCCGCGTAAAAGCGGACCAAACATGTCCATACCCGCAATAGGTGAATGGAGGAGCCTCTGACATTCTTTCAGTCGGCAAGTTTGACATTTTCTGTTCCTGAACTGAACCCGCTGTTTCCTACATATCACACACTTGGCGATATGATACCTCACTGATGATGAACAACCCGATTATCCAAAGCCATGAGCCGCATTATGGCATTTGCTGTGAGTCCCGTCCCTGGTGTGCTGCCTCCTCATGATAATGTCCGATAATGAGGGTTGTGATATGATGGCAGCTTGGGTAGAATGATTGGATGTTTCAAATTGTCGAGAGTTCACTCAACTGCACTCTTCCTCCAACACGAAGACCATTGGAGTCTACAAGCGGGTCAAGCTTGAACAATGGACTTGTTCCCTTAACTTGTTTCAAAGGTCCATTCACGACTAACTTCACTTTATTAGGCTGTTGTCAAAGCACTTTCCGTCGATACAATCTCCGGATGTTCGACTTCAAAACCTTCAGTTCACCTGAGAAGCACTCAAATTGCACATGTTTAAGAATCTCAAGTTCAGCGTTCTCCAACTGATCAACAGACAGTGATCCTATCACTGGAGTCGCACCTAACTATCAACAGGTTCATTGGGTGATTTCTCACCGAATTCTATGCATCAGCCTTTGCTTTAATCTCAAACAATGAGCAACAGCTTTCTTGGCATTGTTCCACTTTGAACAATGACTCAGGCGACTTACGCCGAGCGTTGTTCGAACGCACTAGAAGCGAGGATTTTCACTCGCTTTATCTCTGAATCATCAAGAGATACCTCAAAACTTTCACATTCCTGATTATCGATGCCGAAGTGGGATCACACAAGAATCTTGGACCACTGGAGCCAGAGTTGATGTAGCCAAGTTCTGAGCACCAACACCTCGAGAAGCTTCTGTCTGCAGGGTTGTCCACACCTTTGGCGATGTCTCCACTGATCTGGTGTTGTATGTTCTCTGATCTGTTGAACCGCGATTGCCCACAAACACATGATAGCGAACTGAGTCATTTGATATGTAGCCCAACACTGCCTTGCTATCAGACCAAAACACCTCTCTTAACTTCTCACAGTGAAGTTCCTTTTGAAGAAACTGACTGATCCGTGCGAAATAACAGGCGGCTGTTAGTTCAAGTCGCGGTATAAGTGACTGGTTTCAGGGGACACAGTCTTGTTTTCCCAATAACGAAGGCACAGCACACATTGCCATTAATGTCTGTACTCCTGAGGTAAGTACACTGACCGTAGCCTAACATGCTCGCATCAGCAAAATGATGAAGTTCCTGCGACTTGACTTCACCAAAATGTTCAGGTTTGAAACATCTTGGAACTGCTGATTTCTCTAGATAGAAAAGTTCAGACCTCCATTTCTCCCACTGAGATCTTAGATTGTCTGGCAAGGGACTGTCCCAATCCAGCTGATCCTTGCAAGCAGCTTGCAAAACCTGTTTGCCTGTTAACACTACAGGAGGCGATGAATCCCAGTGGATGCGTAGATGGAGTTAATAGTTGATACCACCGCCGTCTGGCGAGAGAGGCTGATCCTTGAGTGTGATGCAGAACTGGAAAGTGTCAGATTCTATACACCAGTTCACACAGAGGGCTCGTTCGGCGGTAAAAGGATCTTTCATGAGGTCAATTCCTTTACCTCCTTGGCACAGTCTTCCTCGGGATTGCTGCTATCGTCTCTTGAATTGATATGCATTTGTGGAGTCTTATTCCACCCTCACTGCACATCTGTTTGCTCTTCTGTATGAGCTGAACAGCTTCTTCTACTGTGGATACGGAAGTCAAGCCATCATCGACGTAGAAATTCTCACGCACAAACTTAGCTGCATCTGAACCATACTGGTCCTCGTAATCCTTCGACACTTGTTTAAGTCCATAGTTGGCACATCCTGGGGATGATGCTGCCCCAAACAGGTGCACAGTAATTCTGTAATCTATGGGCTCAGAGTTAATGTCATTGTTGTCAAACCACAAGAATCTAAGATAATCTCAGTGTTTTTCTACCACATTGAATTGGTAAAACATTTGTTCAATGTCACATTGCACTGCAATAGGTTCTTTGCGGAATCTACAGAGCACACCTATCAATGTGTTTGTCATTTCTGGTCCCTTCAGAAGATGATCATTGAGTGATATGCTATGATGCTGGGCACTACAGTCAAATACTACACGTATTTTGTCCCTTTTCTTGGGGTGGTACACCCCATGGTGAGGTATGTACCAAGAACTTCTTGATTCATTTCTCAGATCATACACTGGCACTTGTTCAGCATGGTGATTCTTAAGAAGTTTGTCCATGAAACTCTTATAATCACTCTGGAAATGTTGGTCTCTCACAAAATGTCGCTTCAGCTGCTGGAGTCTATTTAAAGCAACAGTTCTATTGTTTGGTAAGATGGGATCTGATCCCTTGAACGGCAAAGGCATTTCGTAATGTCCATCAGGTCGTTGATGTATGCCGTTCTCCATCATTGACAGAAATTCCTGGTCATCTAATGACAATGGATCACCTGAACACTTTCTGTCATTGAAATCCATTTCCATCATCTTGGATACATCGGCTGGATATACCGGGTACTTCCTTGATTGAAGTCTTGTAAGATACACACACTCTCTTGGTTTCTCTGGTTCAGACTGCTTAACCCACATGGAGCGACAGATGTCATCACAGCGATGACTGAATCCAACCACTCCACAGTGGTCAACATCCATATGATGAACAGTTCCAACTATTCCCAAACCCAAGTCTGTTTTTTGTCCATAGGGATCATCGTCATTGACTGGAGGAACTACTTCACTTGGTGTGAGTGCACACGGGCAGTTGTAGCCTATCAACAAACCAACATCAACATCACATAGAGGGATAAGTTCACTTTCCAGATGCTGCAGATGAGACCACATTCTTACTTTACTTGGAGTTGGTATGTGCTGTCTATTTGCTGGCATAATGTCTTTGGTGTATGCTGTAGGCAAACTGATTTGCTCGTGATGATTAAAACCACGAATTCGTAGACCACTTATCTTCTGACTGTTGATAAGCTGATCTTCTGCCGTCATTGTGGACAACATCAACTTGACATCAGGTCCTTCAACTTGCAATGACTTACAAGTTTTGTCCAGAATGAATGTAGTGTCCGACTGAGTGTCCAATAGGGCATAGACTAAGCGTTCATATTCAGGCCTATCGATCGCGATACCTACACAGGCAGTATCATAGAACACTGATCACCTTGTCCGCTGTCAACATGACCACTCACATGACTAACACTGGATTTTGTTGCCTCACTTTCAACCCTGACTGCTTTGTGTTATTTCCTTTGCTTCGGTTTGATGAGAGCGTTGAGGCAAAGATGATTCTCTCTGATGGATATTTCCATGAAAGGGTGTCGGGTGGTACCTTCCACAAATGGAGCATCTAATTCTCTTTGGACAGTTCTTAGATTTGTGTCCTGATTTCAAGCAAGCAAAACACAAGTTTCTTTCCTGTGCGAAATCCTTCCTTTGCTGCATGGACAAAACCACAAATGCTCGACAACTGTCAATATCGTGATTGTTCTTGTTACAGTACAGACATACTGCGCTAACTTTCATAACACCTCTACTTTCAATTAATGTCTCAAATGCACGTTTCCAGCTGACGAAAATGATTGGATCACCCATAAATACCCCAGGTTCAGGGATAGGAACGCCGAAGGCCCGGGTTCGATTCCCCACATGGGCACAATGTGTTAAGCCCATTTCTGGTGTTCCCCGCCGTGATATTGCTGGAATATTGCTAAAAGCGGCGTAAAACCAAACTCAGTCAGTCAGTCAGTCAGGGATAGGAAGCCTTCCAAGGGAGACTTGATCAGCAAATGTCTTTGTGATTTCAGCAATGTTCAACGAGTTGTCATTTTGTCTGAATTCAGGAGATAAATAAGAAAGTCTAGTGGACACACAAGGTGCAGGGGTAGGTTTCCAATTATTCTCTCTTGTTGTAGCTGTAGCAACTTGAGGTTCCATGGTGGGAGTAGGGCTTCCACGGGTACTCGAGTACGAGTCGGGTTTAGCTGGACTCGAGTCCATTTTCAAGGACTCGAGGACTCGAAAAGAGGAGATAACTCGAATTATTGACGTTGACGGTCTGTCTGCCGTGTGCTAAGCATGAGCGGCCGTTAACGTCTAATATTAAGAAAAAGATATAGCCGGTAACTGTATTATCCCGGAGGAAATTCTCATACATCCAAACTGTCTTAAAATGAATATATACACAGTTCACAAAAATATACACAATAATTACATGCTCAAAACGAATGCTATTTACAAATAAAACTGACATGATATAATTCAATTAACCACATAGGTAAAGAGGCTGAATAATTCTTGTTCTAATCACATGATAATGATTCAAAATATTTGTTGCATTCACGAATACTTGATGGTATGAAAGACTGTCGAGCTCTGTTTTGAGGGAAGGTAATCGACAGCGCGTCCAGAAGGAAGTAGTTCAAAATGGTGAGATGAAATATGTCAACTATCAAATCTAATTTTAGCTGCCTTTTGACTATATCGGAAATACACTCCAGAAATTTTGCAAGCAGTATTAACAATTTTTGAAAAGTCTGTTTTGTTAGCGATGAGACAGATCTCCATACCAACATAGAAAATTGTAGAGTCAACACACTTTGAATAAAGATTTGATAAAAAACTGTCATTACGGTTTTGTCAATGCCTTGACGATAATAATGTTCAGAATCAGAAATTAGGCCAGTAACAGTGGTGTCATCTGCAAATTTCACAGTAAACAAGTCATATATTGACAAGTAACAGTCACTGGTATACAAATCGAAGCATACGGATGAAGGAACACAGCCATGTGGATCTCCAGTAGAGGTTGAGAGAAAAGAAGATTGATAGCCATTGACACTGACATACTGAGTTCTATGTACCCTGAATTCTTTAACCCATCTGAAAATGTTTTTATTAACACCTAGGTTAAATAGTTTACTCCTCACACGGTGTGGCTGCATGGTATTAGTTGTTACAAGTCTGCAGATGAGAGTAAATATTATACATCGATTGAGATTTCACTTCTTAAAAGGATTAGGTAACTATCTTGACAATTGATCGTTGCTTGAAAGGTATGAATTTCAAGTACTCGGGTCCGAGTCGAGTCTCATCCCTCGAGTACTCGAGTCCCAAAAAATGGACTCGTTGAAGCCCTAGGTGTGAGTCTCGACTGCATCAGGCATCAGGGGATTATTGACTATATAATCTTTCACATACTCTTCTGCACTTTGTTGTTTCTGATCAATTATAATGTCTCTCCCATACAAAAATGTCCTTTCACATTCATCAGCTAACACAGAAAACCTCGCCTCCGCCATGTCTAATTCTTTCTGCATCGATAATTTGTCTAGTTCTAATTTCTTACGTGCTTCTGCATCTGCATATTTCATCTGTACTTTCAATGCGCTATGTGGAAACGCTTCGGCCTTGATGAAATTCTACTTCTGTCACTTTTCACACTAGCAGCCACATTTGATTGATTGTCACTCATATTGGCGATGAATCTATAAATATATGCAAGAAATTAGCATCAACTACGATGAAAACAATCTGACAATGTCTTACTTCACAAATCCACAATGAAACTGAGCCCGAATGACAAAGCACATGGCGACCACATGGCAAAAGCGAACGCACATTTCCATCCTATCTCAGCTTGTGAATACAATTTCACTGTTCCGTACTCACAAATAAAAACTCGTCTCTGTGCACTTGAATTTATTGTTTTCTTCGTTTCCAACCTACAAACTCCGACAAAAAACGATGAATCAATGGCGAACATGAAATTGTGTAGCTTTCACGCTTCGAAAATTACACACAGACAAACATTTTGCCGCGCACTGAACTGGTCTAAGGGAGATAACTCGTCACATTACCTGCTACACTTTTTTTGTACTAATTGTAGTATGTGCAGCGAGTAAATTAGAGCATGTGATGATCACTCTGATGTGTTCAAATTTTAATGGAGTTCTGTATGACTTGACGTTTGTTGATATCGTCTTTGGTTATGTTGGTGGGTCGCTTGCCATAGTCGATTCTGGATAGAATTGTAGACTTTTACAGTGAAATCTCTATTGCGGTAGAACCTGAGTTTTTCTATTTTTCAAAAGGTGGCAGTTTGCTGACTGGCAGACCCGAGTAACATGGTGATGAATCGTCAAACCAAACTCCCGGGTTCTTTACTGCGGTTGATGGCTGCATGACGGATCCTTTTGTGTTTATAGATGTCCTATGTCACCAAGGGCTTTAGTGGCTCATTTAGGACCAAATACAATTACTTCTGTCTTGCCCTGGTTTAGCATTAACATATGAAGTGAGTCTTTCCTTATTTGAAAACAAACATGTGACTGGAAGAAACAGGATCATCCTGAGCCTTGACCATACTTCTTATCAGAATGGTAATATCAGTTCATGTTCATACTGAATTAACTGTAAAAATTACACCACCATAATCATTTTGCACCCCATAATAACATGCTCATACTTCCATTATAATATAACTCATACAGAACACAATACTGTCCGTGAGATACAACCCTGGGAAGTTGATCAATTTCCTTTACAGCAGTCTAGCGTGAAACACAATTCATCAAAAGAAACATTTACACAGACTACCAATCATTAGCCCGAACTGGATTTGATTGGAATAATCAGATGTATGACATATACATATATATATAAACACAGTCAGAATGTCAGACAACAGCAGTGCATTGTACTCTTACATTAAGATCTTTCCATGGCACTTCTTTTCCACATCCCAAGTTCTTGAATGGACAGTAGACAGGCAAGTTTCTTATTTCTCTTCTGGCACTAACATCAGGGTAGATCTGGAAATAAAATAGAGGATATTCAAGCATTTCCATTTCAGCAAATTTGTCGCAAGCTCAGCTTTCAAAACGACATATTTAGGCTTGGAATAGTAACAAACACCATCCTGAACATAATTTAGAAGAACCCCCAAAATATAGACCTAACTTTGCACACTGTCTGAGTAAATTAAAACTCTATTTCATCACAATAGTTTATGTATGATGTTATCAGTGACACAATTTTCATATCAATAATCGTTTTTCCGATCAACAACATTTCCAAAATCTTTTTAGCCAGCCCTTGTTTTTCATATAACTGGGGTTTATCCAAAATTTCAAGCTAAGTGCTTTGGGCAAGCAAATCTAGAAAACATTTCATCAAACTTCAACTTTTTACATTACTTTCTAAATTCATTAATAGAGTTATATTACGTCATTTTTCATGAGCTTTTCACAGTATTCATCAGCTTGTGGACAAGTTACTGGCTCGCCCTGCCGGAAAAGTATTTCAACGCATCCTTCACACAATCTGGAAGAGATATACAATACTGATAGGTTAAATTCACACAAACATCAGTGTGCCTGGATTTCTTTTGGAAACTTAGTCTTCCTTACCCTGCTTTTAACAGTAATTCAATCACATAATAGCATACAGTAGCCCATCTCTGAGTGACAGGCAGACAATATTCACTAATCTTGTAGATGAACAGATCAACAGCAAGCCAAAGGTTCATGGCCCAGAATCACCACTTGGTTTTCAATGTTAGTGGTATATAATCGAACAGATTCATTATTCTCACAAGCTAGACATAGGTTACAAGACATATGCATAAGAAAACTAAAGATACATACTATACTACTCAGAAGAGGTCAAGGAATCCCTGAATTTATCGAGATGGATATGGTTAAACTTATTGCACAGATTAACTGAATCATATGAAAATGTCTGGGTTATTCTAACTTCTTTTGAGTTGTATTTTTATTGCTATTGTTTCTGGAGGCCATTGTACCTTGGAATTGTTATTTGTATCCCAATTGCATATATCGATGCTCATGCTGTTGATCACTGGATTGCCTGGTCCAGACTCCATTATTTACTGACCGCTGCCATATAGCTGGAATATTGCTGAATGTGGTGTAAAACTAAACTCACTCACTATTTGTTTCTGGTCTAAAACTTCAAGATAACCTAATGAGAATGAGATTATATTTCAAATGCAGAGATTTTATGAAAATCAAAATAAACCTGCTGTTCAACACTTACCTGTGTCCACATTTTGTCTGAACAGGATTCTTTAAGACGTTGTGACAGACAGCACATTTGTACCTGAAATGAAATCAATTGTTTCATATTCCTCTTCTTGTATTTTGCTTACAAACTTTCATTTGCATACTCTCTATAAGGGAACTCTGAGAGCAATATAATATGGTAATGTGTCACCTACATATGCTCCAGAAATCTGTAGTGGAACATTCACAGAAATGTTTTGATAGGAATCATGCACTTCTGAACACAGTTGAAACACTTTGTGTGAGAAACAAATATTGAACAAATGGGCCACGTTGTCAAGAAAAGTCTGCAAAGTCATTTGCTAGAAAATATGTTTATCCCCAAAGACTTAAAATAATCTTCATGATCTGTGATCATCACAAATAAGAACCATTAAGCATGGTAAAGAGAGGATTGCTATTCACAGGAATACTTTTCTCCAATTTCAGATGAAGGAACTGAATCATCACAAAAAGAACAAATTTCCATTTGTTGGACACATTTCAACCGACGAATAAAGACATGACGATGAGGAATGTTTTCTTAGTTTCATCAAGGCAGACAGCAGTGGATTTATATGTCATTTTTGTCCACTTTTGTATGGTCAATTAGTTAAAGACTTCATTAGCAGTCAGGTTTATGACGGTATCTAATAAGTGCTTCATAAGTGCCCAGATAGCATTCGGATGTTGGCCCAACGTTTGGCCAATGTCTGAATGCTATCTGGGTGGTTACCTTGGCCTCCTTTCAATAAGGTTATCATAAGTCACTAAGGTAATAATAAGTCACTTAGGTAATCTTAGGTAATCTTAGTGCAGTGTTAAAGAATGGGAGTAAGTTAACCTTAGTTAATTAAGGTTGCTTCGTGAAAGGGGCCACAGAATGGTTACTTGAATGGTAAACAAGTCATTATTAGACACCAATGCCTTGAACTTTGCATGAATCTGGCCATCGTTCATAGCTTTTTTATCAAATAATGTCCCATGTTCCAAATATTATTTTTTCTTTTTCATATTCTGCAAGGCATCTATCTCATGATACTTACCTTTCGTCCACATTGATAAAGTTCGGCTCACCATCTTCTGAGGAAGTTAGGCTGCTCTCGGCCAGAGAAGACAAAGGGCTACTTGTACCTGAAGACGTTGACGCCATCTACAGCATACAAAGAAGAGTTTTCATAGATCATAGATGGGGTTTTCCCTAATGTCACGCTATAAAAATAACTACCACGCGAGTTCTATCTCTGGTGCCAGCGATGATATTAACATTCTTTGTAGCCTCAACAAATTCAGTTTTAATGATTTAGACAATGTATGGTCATACAGTCAAGATAACAAGATAAATCTAAACATACTTCACAAAACAGCGTTTTCCTAGGTCGTCGCTATTTCACTCTCGTTCAGAGACCACAGTGGCGGACCATATTTATCGAGTGGTACACATTCTCATATCGCGCGTGTTATTCCGTGTAACTGTTGTTTTCTATGCGCGACGCAAAATGCACGTGCGCGGTTAGCGCGTCCCTCTCATCGAACCCAGATAAATTTATTTATGCTGAACCAGAGACTATATAATAGTCTATTCTACCATGACTTCAGTAAACACTGGATTGTGATTGGTTAATTAAAGTCATTCAGAGGTATATAATCACGTTATACAGGTCTCTGTTTTCCGTGCGCAATCATACATGGTTTACGGTAATGCACTATTTTTGTCTGCCCACTAACATGGCGGACACCGAACAACCTACCGATGCATCGATAAATTACGGCGATTTTACTGTCGGAAATTACACATATGTCTTTAAAGATGGATTTAGCGACGACGGGCACGACTCACTACTTGCGTAAATCACAGCAATAGGTGTTTATATATACAAAAGTACTTCGAAAGCATGGAAACAAATATTCAGTCGAACAAGATCAAAACATCGTCTGCTTTCCGAATAAAAATTCAGCAAAAACAAATATGTTTACGTTGATTCTATGTTATGTCAGAATAGATCCAGCAATAGACTGCTACAAAATTTCCGTGTTAAATCAGCTTTCGTCAACGATATCGCCACTGATCTTGATCCGGTAACGGAGGATGCATTAACATCGAACGCCGAAGAAATTTTAGATTCTAATGCCTTCCGTCCACATAAATAAACAGTTGGGTTATCAATTCAAACAAAATGATATTTTGAAATTTGTACTGTTTCAAATTTAGCGGTAGTAAAACACAATTAGATCTACAGAATCTGCAAACCGTTCTGTTTAGCCCAACATATTTTTTTTCTAAATGTATAATATCGTTGAAAAAGTTATTTAGCTTAGTCATGATCCCTCTTATCCATTACACTGCTTGATCTAAAGTAGTCTATTAAAGTATAATTAATTACCTTACCGTGTTTATGCCAGAGGTACACCTCGTGTCCTGATCCATCCTTTCGGAAATATCACCACAAATCTGGCTCTTTTGTCAACAGACTCGCTTGAACATGCCAGCCAATGCGATTCAATTTGAATTCACTACACTTTGAAGCCACTAGGTCACAAAACACTTTCCAAAATGTGAAAATAATATCCGTAGAATCGAATTTGAGCACAAAGTACACACATGAGTGTGTAAGAGTCACCACAGCTGTCGCACGCAGACGTAGAGGTGCGTGTAATCGTCAAGGTTGACAGGGCGCAAAATTCAACAGTATCTAAATTCGGTACAACACGGACTTCCTCGTTACAGCAAAGCACCACTACTCTTAAATTTTGTACCAGTACCGGTAATTAGATATCAAAGACTATCTCAGTCATACAATCAGGTTAACCTTGCGCAAACTGTCAGTGGCTCTCCTGTCGCATCTTTCCAAATGTAAACAATGACTTCGAGAAAAGGTCAAGGCCATGAGGTTGCTGCCACTATTCTGGTGGGGAAAGGGTCTACGGTGGAATTTTCAAATGTGAACCAAGCTTTGAAACTTATTTGATATATGTTTTCCAACTTATCAGTTAATGATTGGTGATTGATGCATTGAAAAACAAAACGTGATTTGTTATTACTGAATCTGGAGTTTGTTAGTCATTGACGGTTTGCCACCAAACACCCCGTTTCGGGCGATACCACTTGAGATTGGAATGCGAGGCCGCTTCACGTATTGACTCGTAACCAAAGAAAGAGCTCCACCTGAAATTGTTCATAAAATTGTCATGGTAGAATGGAGATAAACCTACTGTGTGGGAAAATCAGAGGTATATAACGAAATTATAATAGCTCTAAATTGTTCATTTAAAACCTCACGCTACGCGTTCGGTTTTAAATGAAATTTAGAGCTATTATAATTTCGTTATATACCTCTGATTTTCCCACACAGTAGGTTTATCTCCTAAATATCTATTATATGGTCTCTGGCTGAACCCAGATAAATTTATGTATGCTTAATATATCCTATTTCGTGTTTCCAGTTGCCTAATAGAATAAAAGTAGTTATACATAAAACAGTTTATTGTGTTAATGAAACAATGATACTAACTTTTCTTGAAGGCAAATGTAAAACGACAAGAAACGTTTAACGTTACCATAACCGTACGGTAGCTGGGTACTGTCTATTTAAGTTGACAAGGATGTCCGTATGGCTAGCGGCTTCACGCGTGCACGTACATGACGCCCGCCACATTTAACCTATATGCAGATAAACAACAAAAACACACAAGCGATATGATTACGCTTAGTGACACTGGAATACTGATGTTGACTACGCTGACACTGTGTTATTGATACAACTTTACAACGCTAACCGACTGACAACAAAAACTTTGTAATATTACACGCGAGATGTGGCTGTTGGGGTGAATTGCCTCCCTTGAATATACTACAGTCGATAAAACGAACACATGCACACGGTCTCTGAACGAGAGCGACGACCGTTTTCCTACCGTAAATGATAGTCTGTTTCAAAATACTGAAGCGTACCGTACCCCAAGTTCCATGCGGTTTTATCGCTGAATCTGTTTTGTTTGTGTTTTTCAAACGCTTCATTTTTAACGGCCTACACATCTAATTAACATATTTAATAGAATGGTTGAATTTAGCTGAGAAATATCCTAAAACACGCGTAACACTATTTCGATTTCCGTAGCGATCCGTTGTTTACATTCTCGCCTCTTTCCGTAACCTCCAAGAAGATCGGCTTGTCCCGGAATAACACGAGTTGGTGACGAATGTCCAGCGCAGTACAGGTTACACACCACCAAATGTTTTCCCATAGACTTCTTCTATAGTAACCTTATAAAAAAAATTAAATATCCAGGCTATCAACAGCCATTCCATGTACACATGGGTACACTCTGGCCTTTAAACTACCATAAAACAAGGGAGATATTATAAAATGTCAGTATGTCAGTATGTCATAACAATAACATAATATTGTTATGTGTCTATCGTCACAAGGACAATTCTGGTGATTGAAGATGCACGGAGTGTCAAGCCAAAAAACAGACCAGGAAGAGTTGTTAAATATGTAAAGTCGACGATCAAATGAGTGCAGCTTGTGTGGTTCTCTCATGTTTATGTTTACCTTCTGCCTACCGGAAGTACTCAGGCGCGTCACGTGATCAAAACACTGACGTCACTGTGGTCTTCCCTATATCAGGCCAACTTGTCCGGCTCGTTTTGCGAGCACAGGAAGCGGAACAAATCAACCCCAGTTCCGCACCAAATGTCACCTACTGGAAAATATCTGTACACACAATAAGCATAAGTGATGGTGATAAAAATGACAGCACTAAATACTTAAAATTGTGGTCAGTTTTTATTACTGGTTGGATGTGCTTTTGAAAAACAAACATCTTACACTATTTCATCCAATCACAGCTGTCACATGTCTCTCGCTCAGGGAGCATGTGATACTGATTTAGTGTAGTGGAACCTGTAAGGTGCGCCCTGTCTCGCATATCGTCACATCCACGGGGCGTGTCACGCTTAGAAACAGCGTTAGAAAGACATATAGGTATATAGACCCTATCCTAGTACTATATAAAAGGAAAGGGATGTAACGACGCCTCCTCCTCAATCAAAGTTAGATTTCACCACGTAAACTATGTTTAAGGCCCCGTCGAGGCCTACGGATCGAAAGCAACATAATTTCCCTACAAAATGAGCTATAAATGGTCACAATCAGATCATTATTTCAAAAGTTATACGCCACGACTCGCCGAAAACAGCTACCTCCGCAATTCAAAGCCAAAATCATGGATCACCCAAGACAGCGAAAACTCACCTTTTAAATTCGTTTATTAATTCCAGCCACGTTGACAGCACCTATGTAGGGCTAGATTCGATCGGCAGCGGCATTCCACGGGTCTAAAAACTTATTGCAACATCTACAAATCATTTCCTCGACAGTAAGCAGGCATTTTCTCCAAAACCATCGGCAATCATACTCACTTGTCGGCCATGGATGACCTTGACATTCAAGTTCGAGTTCGAGTTTTCCCATATTTTATTGACGCTTCTAGACATTTCTAGATATTTTTGTATACTTTCATATTTTATGTACGTTTCCTTTTCTTGCCAAAAGAAGAGGTAGTAAAATATGTAAAACACTGTTCAGCGTTCATAATTTGATTTGCACTTTAGAAAACGATATATAGAATGCTTGAACGCAATGCTATGTGTGGCAAATAGAAGAACACTTCACCGAAACAACCTGATTTATGAAATATCTCAAAGAAAATCAGACTGGCACCCGACGACACCAAACACCGGCAAGTTTGACAGTGTTAGGCGTTGACTCGTACGTTGAAATACTCTGTATATATGTCCATAAAAGAATGACAACGGGGAAAGCTCTATGGATACGCAACGTCTTTATGATTAAAGTAAGCATCGTTTCGGTGAAGATGCTAAGTGATGTACAGGTTATGCTAAGTGATGTACAATTACTGCAGGAAAGGCTTATGCATGAGTAAACTAATAAATGTCACTCCAAGACGTTATCCGTAAAAGATCTCGGTGTAAAACCAACAAAAAATCCATGTTATGTCATTATTGTATTAAATAAATAACTGAATGAGAAATCACTACAAAGGAATTCAAATGGCAGTATAAATGGCCGTGCAGTACTCTCTCTATATATTCACGGACATACACAAAATATTGACACAGTACGAATT